AACGTTAGGAAACAAAACTTCCAGAACACGGCCACACAGCCCGGAAAACCCACACCAGCCACACAAAGCAGTGTTTGGTGGACCGCTTTCACCTGGTCCTGATCCTTATTTTCTTCCATATAAATATTTTACTGCTTTGTGTATATGAATGTAAACTATTTGTGGAATATTTTAAATACTTAAAGCAGAATAAAAGTATTTAAATAGCTGCATCTGGGAATGGATTTCCTTCATTTCTAATTTGCAATCCAGCTTGCTTCTTGCTTGCTTTTATTTTAATCCATAAATCCATAAAAATACATTGAATATTCTAAATGGTTTGCCACCAGTTTAAAAATGGTAATACTGTAGCATATGCTATGTGTATGTAAGAATCATCTAGGAAAGACTTTGAGTTTTTTTACACCCTGTTTTTGCCTCCTTTTTAATTTTTATTCCCAGGGTCCCAGAACATCTTGTGAAAAGCATAACTTGGCAGACTCTCCAAGCAGTGAATTTTTGTCACAAACACAATGTAAGTCATCCCATCCCAGAATTGCCACTTTCTGTTCTACACTCACTCTACCAGTTTGTTTCTGTAGTGCTACAGATTTTGAGCTTACTGAATCAGAAAACATTTGTATAATTGCTACAATTGTCTCCAGATTGGATGATCTAGATATGAAGCTGTTTTCCAGGTTTAAACCATTTTTTTAGAGAAATGTTTTAATTGGAGATGGCTGATTTTTCTCCATTTTTGAAATTTTTCCAAAATGCCAGAGGGGTTGAAGTTACCATACAAATGGCACCCTTCTACCTGAGTGCCCTGCTTTCATGATAAATTTCTCATCCTTTAACAGAGAGGTTGGCAACTTTTTCAGATCATGGCCAGATGCCATTTCATGTCTTATGTTGAAGCCCAGGTTAGTCCCTCCAAATTGTCTGAAATCTCATCAGATCGCCAGATCTGGACTGAACAACAACTCTGAGATTTTGCAAGATCTCATGCATCCAAAATTTGCAAAATCTCTCATGAAATTGATTTCTTTTAATGTATAAGGTCACAAAATTTGGTGATCTCCCAGTATTTTGGCCATTTTAGTTTTTGAACATGCATTAAAATAATTTTGATTGAACTGAAACTTTTGGGGAAGTAATAGCCACCATGTTGCTGCCCCTTACCCTAGAAAAATCTTCCCCAAGTTGGTAGCCTTGATAGGAATTGTTTATTGTTTATTTATTTATTTATATTTCAAAATCGTCACCACCCATCTCACTGCAGAGTGACTCTGGGTGGTTTACAGTAGAAACAGAATAAACATTAAGTAAAATAGATAAATATTAATTAAAATATGCTAGAATAGCAAACTTCCTATGCAATACTTTCAAGAGGCAGATGTTAATTAGGTGTTCCCAGGGTCGGTTGTATCTTTCCTTGCCCCACGCAAGTTGGCAGAGCCAAGTCTTCAATTCCCTCTGGAAAATTGAGAGGGTAGGGGCCTGTCTGGGGGGAGAGTATTCCATAGGGCGGGGGCAACAGCAGAGAAGGCTCTCCTCCTAGGACCCACCAGTCGACATTCTCTCACTGATGGGATCTGCAAGATGCCTCCTCTGCCAGACCGGGTGGGACAGGTTGATGTAATGGGGATGAGACGGTCCCTCAGGTAACCTGGACCCACGCCATGTAGGGCTTTAAAGGTGATAACCAACACCTTGAATTGAACCCAGAAACAAACTGGAACCCAATGAAGCTCCCACAATAAAGGTGTTACATGTGCCACCCTTGGGGCACCCAAGATTGCCTGCACGGCCACATTTTGAACCAGCAGTAGCTTCCAGATACTCTTCAAGGGTAGCCCCTTGTAGAGTGCATTGCAATAGTCTAAACGAGAGATGACGAGGGCGTGAGTGACAGGCCGGTGGGACCCCTGATCCAGGAAGGGGCGTAACTGGTGCACAACATGAAGTTGAGCAAAGGTCCTCCTGTCCACAACTGCCACCTGTTTCTTGAGCAGGAGTCGTGAGTCCAGGAGGACCCCCAGATTATGCGCCGGGTCTGTCTGGGGCAGTGCAACCCCATTGAGAACCAAAGATGGTAAACCCCCAGATACAGAGGAGCCTCCAATCCACAGCCACTCCTTCTTACCTGATTGCTGCCTCAGAATTCCCAGCCTCTGGCCATGCTGATTAGGAATTTTGTAGTTGCAGGTTGGGAAAAGATGTTCTAACAGAATCCGGTATTCCTGTTTATGGAGAACATGCAAAGCAATTCATGTACAAATATGTTTCTTAACACAACTCTCTTTGTTGTGCTGAGAGACACATCTCTCTCTCACCAAAACTTCAAACTAGAAAGAATGTGACTGGAATATATTTCTTAATATATTTACTTTATTTTCCCTACAAATAAAACAGTGTTGCTGTTATTTATTTGTTAGCAATCATACTTCATAAAAAAAAATGAGAGGGCCATATTGTCTCAAGTGTCAGGTCTCAGGAGTGGACTGCCAGGTGTCTTATGTCTGAGATTAATAAAATGAAGCATTGTGTTTTCTGCTTGATCATGTCATTATATCCCTTTTTCTGTGTCCAGTGCATACACAGAGATGTAAAACCGGAGAACATCCTTATAACGAAGCATTTTGTCATTAAGCTCTGTGATTTTGGATTTGCTCGCATCTTAAGTAAGTTTATTATGTGAAACTTAGCAGAATGGATATAGTTGTAGGAAGCAGATTCTCCCCTCCACACTCTGTGACCACCTGTACTTTTCAGAAGATTGGGAAACTTTCTAAAATATAGTTTGGGAGAGGAAGAAAAGTTAGATATGTAACTGCAAGAGAAATCAATTCATGTGATGTCAGATTTAACCCATTGGTTGACAAAATAGGCCCCACTGAGTTCAGTGCATAAGTATGTATAAGAATGCATAGTTACAGACTAAATCTCCAGAGAATGAAACTATATAAGAAACATATTAAACTTACCTTTGTCTCTGTAAAATCAAGCATTTAGACAGCCACATCTTCTAAACCTTGTATTTTTTAAAACTTGCATGCCAAGGATGAAATGGTTACACCTTGGCTTTTAACATGCTGTATTTTTTTCCAGTGATGGAGTGGGAAAAAATCATTGGAGTGTCTGTCCATAGGCAAAAACAAGAAGTGTTAATCTTATTTTGTCTTTGCATGAATACTGGAATAATTTAATTGGATTGCTTTTTTTTATGTACTTTCTATATAACATGCATTTAATTGCAAAAATATGTTTTATAAGCGACTTTTGTAGAACTAGGAACAAACATCTGTACTGGCTTTGACATAGAGATCAAAGCTGCATTTGATTTTGTACATCTGTATGTTTCTGTAGATTTTAGCAGCTCATGTTTTCCAGTCCTCATCTCTAAAATGCATAGGGCAGAAATCTGAAGCAATGGATGAATGTATTATTTTTTTTTCTGTTTGATCCTGTTACTGATGTTCCTCTTAATGGATGAAAGGATGAAAATAACAACATTGCTTTTTAAAATGTGTTAAGCAATTGATTAATTGAAAATAATTTGGTTCATTTTTACTCTTTCTAAAATGAGAACCAAAGTCGATAAACAAGAGCAAATTTGCTTTTTGAGTAATTGAGAATGAACCTTACTGCATATTTTTCTTGTAGTGTTTGTAATTTGTAAATAAACTTCAAAGTAGACCCCAGGATATCATTTTATTTCCTTTGCCCTTGAAAGGAAGATTTACAGAGAGGGTCTCTAGTTTACTATTCTAATTGGTGCTTCTATTTCTGCAATCCCTTCCTCAACTCCTTTTAGCTGGGCCCAGTGACTATTATACAGATTATGTGGCTACCAGGTGGTATCGTTCTCCTGAGCTCCTTGTGGGTGATACCCAGTATGGCCCTCCTGTGGATGTCTGGGCTATTGGCTGCGTTTTTGCTGAACTGATTTCAGGCATCCCTCTCTGGCCTGGAAAATCTGATGTGGATCAACTTTACTTAATCAGGAGGACGTTAGGTAAGCAAAAGGCTCTGAGATACCTCTGAGTTGGCTGTTGTTTCAGGTTTAGCAGATTCTTCCTTCCTCCTCGCCCCCCCGCCCCCCGCTGGGGTGTTGCATGTGAACTTTGACTGTCTCCTGCATAAACTCCTTTGAGGAGCATGGCTTGTGTAGCATCTGGGTCAAGGAACTATTTTGTTAATTGAAGTCAATCTTCGTACACTATCAACAACCTTCTTCAACCTAGTACTTGCTGGTGAGGTGGGGAGGAGAGGTCATTTAAGGCAGAGTTGGACAACCTAGAGTCCCAGAGGCCCTCCCCCAAGAGCCCCCAGAGTCCTCCCAAAATTAGCTTTTAATATGATAGAAGAAAATGCTGACACGCATTCCTGGAGAGTAGCCATCTTATGCTTAATATAAATTACTTTAAATAAAATAATGTTTTGTTTCTATCTTTGACTCACATAATTCTTTTGGAAAGTTGCTCAGAGCCAGGTGCAGTCCTGAGGCCCGCCTCCCCCCCCCCCATAGAAGGTAATTTTCATTTAGGTAACCTTTTCCAACCTGGGGCCTTAAAAGGAAAGAAAGGCAAAGCCAAAAGCCAACGTGTTTTAAAGTGGGGGGGGAGGGTCAGCAAATTTGAAGAAAAGACTTCTTCTGCCAGCCCTAGGAACGAGTGTTTGGCTGGTTACCTAGGCACCGATGTTTCTGTGTCAAGCTGCTTTTCGGTCCCTTCTGCTTCTATTGCAAACCCCACACAGGATGAGGTCTTGGTGATGCAAGTGTTTAAACTGACTGCACTGTTTGATTCTTGTTCAAAGGTGACCTCATCCCCAGGCATCAGCAAGTCTTCAGCACAAACCAGTTCTTCAGTGGGGTGAGGATACCCGATCCAGAAAGCATGGTGAGAGTTGCCCTCCTGAGCAGTCTTCCACGAGTGTAGCGCTGTATCGCCACTGAACCTGCCTTATCAGGATGGCAAAAATGTGGACGGCCAACAGATGCCAGCAGAGAGATAGAGAAAACCGGAGCTGGCAGCCCAGATACTAAAGCCTGAGAAAACAGAGAGCTAGCTTGCAAGTGTTTTCTTCTCTTCTCAGTCCCTTTTGGAAGAATGGCTGATTTCTAAGGACCAGAAAACACTGCTTTTGCAGATTAGCTATTTAGGGACCCAGGACATTGCTTGGTTACAAACTGTTGCCTAAAAAGAATGGTTCGTTCTTGGGTATGACTCTAGAGAGACATGTAACTAGGTGCAGTCTGGAGATCAACACCCAAATTGGTTTCTGGGAGGGGGGAAGGATTGCTATTGGAAACAGAAGAGAAAGCTACAGACTGCAGGACTTAACGATAAAAAGTTGCAAAGGCAGAAGAGCCAATTTAGCTCTTTAGTTCTCTCATCTGTCCTGGGAACCATTCCTTTAAAAGAAAAATGCATATTTTGTTTTGTTTTTTTCTTTGTTGTTTTTCCTTTAACCGGGGGAATCCTCAAAAACTATGAAGGAGATTCTGCTAATGTTTATTCTGCTTTTTTAACCAGGAGCCACTAGAAATGAAATTCCCCACTATTTCTTATGCTGCTCTAGCACTAATGAAGGTGAGAAAAATACCTTGATCTTTGTAATCATTTATTGGGGCTCATAAATGCAGTGGCATCGCATGAGTCATCCTCCCTCACTTAGTGACCTTCAAATTTACAGGGATTGCAACTCTCAATTCCCTGTTAGATGGTTAATAAGGAAAACGTGGAAAAAAAACTGCAAGGATCAAAAGCAAGGTTTCAAATGGAATATTTCAATGTGGTGCACTTTTGGTTTCAGACAAACACTGAAACTGAGCGTGACCCTCAAGTTGTAGCTGAACTGCAGCTCGTTATTGTTTCTGCCGAATGGGGCTTGGGGAGTTGTAGTTGATAAGAGCTGGAGAAGCAAGAGGAATTTAACCAGGCACATATTTTTGAAGCACCTAGAAAAGAGCTGGATGGTAGGCTGTTAGTAGGACCAAGCCACAAAGAAATGGGCCTTTTTCATTTTCAGGCTTAGTGCGTGTGACTCTGAGAATGGAAGTTTCGTATTGCCCTGAAAATAGATAAAAGATTTTTTTTCTAACGTGGGTGAGAAGATGAAAATAATATTTGTCGGAATCTCTTCCTCTTTGGAAAAAAGTAACTTGCTTGTTATTTATTGCTAGCATTCTTCTTTATAATGCAGGTATTGCCTTGTATCTGAAATTTAATCTTAGTTTTACTCCCTGCAGACAGAAATGTGTTTCCCTCTCCTGAATGCTCTTCTGAATCCATAATTACATGTTAGTCAGTGTGCATTTCAATCTCCTGCTTGTATTATCTCAGGGCTGTCTCCATATGGATCCTACTGAAAGGCTGACCTGTGAACAACTCCTTCAGCATCCTTATTTTGACAGCATCCGAGAGGTAGAACTTGGGAGGGAACGTGAAAGATCCATTACACGGAAACCAAATCGGCCATCGCGAAGGCATGTGCCTGGGGTAAGACACACTAGGCAGCGCGAACTACAGGAAATGGAGCCTTGCTTGTGACACTTACCTCACCTGCTCTGTTTATTCCAATGTTCAAGGCAACTTACAATTAAAAAAAAATCAAAACCAAAATTAAAATCAGTGTTTAGAATAATTAACACGTAAAAGCTTTTCAGAAGCATCTGCTTTTACCATCTTCCTAAATTCTATAGGAGTATAGAGCCTGCTAGTCCAAGTACCTCAAGATCCCTGTGTGGAACTTCTTCTGAGCAACTTGCATTGAAGTAGGCTAAAATGAAAGACATACACTTGTCCTCTAGTAAATTATTATTTATACTTTTATCTTTCAGCTACAGTATCTGCCCCAATTAACCAGCAGCAACATTTTACCTGCTTTGGATAACAAGAAGTACTACTGTGGAACAAGAAAACTTAACTACCGTTTCCCAAACATCTAAAAAAGGAGATCATAGGCTATCATGTGTCTTCTTGCATTCCTAGCCATGAAGAGACCTTGGAAAGACAATCACGGTATCTATACCAGCATAAGTAAAGCAAACTGTGGTTCTTACTGAAAAGTGACAAACCTTGGAAAGGAAATATCTGCACGCATCTGCGTGCGCACACACACAAAAGAATAGATCAACAAAAGTTTTGAAATAATTTATCATTCAACAGAAAATGCTTCTATTTGGGCCTTTGAAAAAGTGTGACTGTATCTCTACTTATCAAGCACTTGTAATTTATACTTCGTGGGACAAGAATTCTTGTCTCTGCTGCCGCTGGAATTGGTGGAGGGGATCCATACATGCCAAATATATTTCATTCACAAAATCCCACTGTGTCAAAGCAAGAGAGAACCCTTGTTCTTATACTAGATATGTAATTAGTAACATTGACAGGCTGAACCTGCAGGTTATTCGTGCAAGTGGAGAGGTGGCTTTGGAGGTTACAGACGAGAACCAGAAATGTCTGGGTTCAAATTTTTTTTTTTGTCGCTGTTTTCACAACAAAATAAATAAAATGTAAAGGAGCTCTTTAATTAAAAAAATGTTTCTTTAAATTTTAATCAATATTATTTTCTACCTAAAATAACTAGAAATAAAATAAAATTTTAATATGCATCTTTTTCTTCATAGGATTCATTTGTTAAGCTATTACGGCTCTCCAACATATTTTAAAGGCTACTTTTCTATCAAAACAAGAATCAGAGAAATGATGTGGCTTCTGATGTTCAGCATCAGAAATCTCATCATTAGTTATGTGCTGTATTTGTTATTGTGAGTTAGTATCCTCAAATTCTCCCATCATCTATGGATGATTTTTTTATTTTTGCTTCATGCTCTCAACTATATGAATTGTGCAATGCCTTTGGCTCCTGAATGTTTTTCATGATTTTACACCAAACAGTACAGACATGTTAATCTCCTAGAGGAACACTATTTTGCCCGGTTTCTACTAGTTCTTGGTTTAGAATGTTGGCAACCAAGATTTGCATACATTTATTTGACTCAGATTATATATTATATACTGGGCTCAGAGTACATTAGGTAAGAACCGGACAAAAATAATTGTTCTACAGTGCATTGGGGCTGTTTCAGTCAAAGACTTTGGATTATGCTCCTGAATTGCATAAAGGCTCTGTGTCCTTGTTCTCAACCTGGCACCTTCCAGATTTCAGCTTTTGCAGCCAATAGTCATGCTAGCTAAAAACTATGAATGTTGAAACAATACATTTGGAGGGAACCCGATTGGGAAAGACTGCTGTAGAATGGAAATTGTGTTCATGGTTGTCAAGGCAGGATCACAGAACTTTATCCCAAGTGCTGTGTCTTATGGCTAGGATTTACCTGGTGTAAACCACGCTTAGTGACATCTGTAGGGGACTGCAAATAGCATATTACTCTGAATTACCTGTACTTCTCCTTTCCTAACTCTTGCTACCTAAATGAATGGTTCAGTTAGGGAACCTGTTTAAAATCCATGGTAAGCTTCCTGGGAGGCAGGAATTCCCTTTATTTGGTGTCCAAATGCATTCCCACACAACATCCATGAGTGTGAACATAAACTTCTAAGCAGTCCACTTAGGCTTCCCGTATCCAGACATCTACATTCAACATCCAGAGGAACACGGGAGATTGCATAATGTGAAGCTGGGATCCCTTTTGCGCTGTTGCCCTACTAAAAGCGGAGAATCCATTTATGAGGGAAACACATAAAGGAGTGGACTTGTTGTCACTGAGGGTATTTTAAAGAAATGTAACCAGTCCTGGGACATTATTCACATATGACTTATATGAGCATCACAAACTGGCATAACCTTTAACCCTGCACGCCTTATCCAATGAAATCTCATTTGCTGTAACTTCATCTTTAGAAATATTATTGTAGAATTAAAAAGGAGTACAGGTAGTCCTTGGTTGTGACCACTCATTTAGTGACCATTCAAAGTTACAACAGTGCTGAACGAGTGGTATTTACAACTGGCCCTTGAAGTTCCAGCCATTGCAGCACCCCCACGGTCACTTGATCACCATTTGGTGCTTAGCAACCAGAACGCACTTAAGAAGCACCCCACAATTGTGATTGCCATTTATGACCTTCCATGCCAGTTTCCCACAAGCAAAGTCAGTGGGTAAGCCAGCAGAGGAGGTCACAAATCGCTCCCGATGCTTTTTCTCCTGAGGAGCCCCACTATTGAGTACGATATCCCAGAGATCTCATACTCTGTAGCATCCCCCCCCACTGGCCCATGCTCCATAATGTGTGCCAGTCTGCCCACACTCCTTACACTTGCCACGGCCCCCACTAATCTGTCCATGGCCCCACTGGCCCACCCACACTCCCTAGCACCCACCCGCAGCCCTCACCTGCCCTTTGCTCCCTAGCACCTGCCTGTGGCACACCCCCCCACGCTCCTTGCCTTGGACTCCTGCCTCTTCCTGCTTAACAACCCGCACAGTCCCGGGGTTACGATGGCAACAATGATTGCCGTCGCAAAGCAATGCAGTCACATGACATTGTGCTTTACAACCACATTGCCTAGCAATGGAAATTCTGGTCCTAATTGCCATCGTAACCCAAGGACTACCCGTAGGCACTTTCTTATTGTGATAATGACTTCAGATACATAATTAAAACCGAATGTTGTTAAACTAGATCACATTTGAAATAAAATACTGTTTGGTTGCTGGGTCTGGCTTCCTAGGAAGACGAAGAACAGGAGACATAGTGTTTTTCCAATGCTGGTTTTCTTGCCAGTATCCAAGGAGCATAGAAGCGGAGACAATCAGCGCATTTAGAATCCACTGGAGTTGGGTGGCCAATAAATTTAAATAAATAAATAACTTTACATTCTTGTGTCAAATGTTCAAACTGAAACTCAGACTTCTGTTTGTCAGTTCCTCACTTCTTCCTTCCCTTTTGCTGTTCCTAAACCTGACTGTAATTCCTTCTACTACACGTCACCTGCTCTCCTTAGCTGGGTAGAAGGCATTCTATTCTCTTACCACTCTTACAAATCTCCTACAGGCTGCTCCAACCTATCGGGTCCCATTAGGGACCTTGGAACACAGGATAACTCTCTACAAACTGCACTTAATGGGACCAAATTTGGTGTGGACAAAGAAGTCAGTAGAAGGAAGAGCAAATTTAAAAACTGGCTGTATCTGGCTGGGGGCTACAGAGAAAAAAATCCAGAAAATTTTTCCTTAGTGCATCCCTGCAGGAGGGTTGGGTAGTGGCTAGGAATGTTGCCAATGCCTCCATTTCAAGCTCTCTTCCTTCCTGGTCATAGAATCCATAGTAGAGCTATTATAGAACAGTTGAAAAGAATTCAGGAGCCACGTTCTCATGGTTTCCCTTGCTTTAGTCATAACCATTGAACTTCTCAAAGCAACAGTAATACTTTTTGGAGAATTTGGAATTTTTTTCCATAACACTTGCCACCCCTCTTTCGGAACCCCTTTTGAAACCTTGTTTCATCCATGAATTTATTCATTTAATTGCAAATCTCATTGCTTAAATGAAACTTTAAGTACACAGTATGCATTTGTAATATCCTTTGGGGCAAAAATTGGCTGCCTCTCCATGCCCCTCTCCAGAACTTAATTTTGTCTTCCTGGTGATATGTAGTCATCACAACAACAGTTCTGAATTGAAGAATTTATCCAAGCAGAAAAGGGGTTTTATTAATGTTTTGAGATGACAGGGTAGGAAAGGAATTTTCCTCCAAAAGCTAATTCACAACACTTTTACTTATGACTATGCGGGCCAGCAATCTCTATATTTAGCCTATAATGTCAACTCCTCCCATAAAAATGTAAAAGAACCTTAAGAATGGAGACATATTTCTCATCTCCTCCATAGATTCTCGGATTCTGTATCTCATGCGAGGGGAGTAATCAGAGCTTAAGGAGTAGACTATGTGCTTTGCGTGCTTCTGTCTGTAGCATTCCTCTCTTAAGTAAGTTTTTATTGTAAACCGCCCAGAGTCACTTTGTGGTGAGATGGGTGGTGACAAATTTGAAATATAAATAAATATAAAAATAAAAAATCAGTAGCCAAGGACTTCCATATTAGCCATGGGCTGCTCGGAGGATCATTTCACAGATTTAAAAATGCAAATGATGCCAAATAGAATGGCAAGAACTTTATTCCAAGTCTAATTCCAGCTCTAGTGCTGGCATTGATTTCTTAAGGAACTGAACAGTTCTTTCCTTCTCTCGGATCCCAGGCAGATCACTCAGGAGCAAATATTCCAGGTTGCTGTTAGAAATTAAATAACAAGAGAAGGAAGATTATTGTTGGCAAAATACTTGCTGAGTGACACAGAAAACATAAGGTAGCCTATTTAACAATATTCAGTGGTGTCAACATCTAATTTTAACTACAGGATAAATGCTCTGTTCCCCACAAAATCTTACAAATAGTTATATATTTTAAACCCATGTTTATGTTTTCAAATATGCCATTATATGTCCAGCAAAAAGACTAGTATATTAACTGAATCCATTAACAAAAGCTTTCCAGCATACACAAAGGCAAACACACATCTGGCCCAATCAGAGTTCTAGAGACACATGGCTCTGTAAACATATTGTAAACAGTCCCTAATTCCAACAGTAGAGAGCATCTGCAGCTCAGGGTTGAACTGTGGGGTTCTTGGTGTTCTCTGAGCTTGGTGTTTTCCTGCAAATATTCCATTACCAGGTTAGGTACGGTCATCAGTGCATGGGTGAGTGAAGTTTGCCAGTTGTTTATATATAACAGTTTGCCCTGCTAGTCTTGGGTAGTCTCTTCTTTTATGGTTCCTAGTAATGCAGGAAAATAACCAAACTCAGAGAACACCAAGAACCTAACTATGTCTAATTTGTGTAGGCTGCTGGAGGGAACAGAGCCCATGCAACTAACATAACTGCTTTATAAAATGTAGAGTTCACCTAATTGGCTTGCATACCTGAGCTTATGCAATGCAATGATGCCTTGGTCTGTGACATTCCCACAAGAAATGAGAAACAAACGCAGCAGGCTCTTCTGCAGGCTTGGAGTCTCGCTAATCCGCTGTAAGCACTCATCCTCAATATAGATGCACTTGCACAATTTTATTTCCTCAAGATGCTTCAGACCATCTGAAATAGCAGAACGTTTCTTGCTAAGGAAAGAGCTTGTTACCAAAAGCTTATGGGAAAGACTACTGTTCTTATCCACATACTGACTGGACTCACATCATTTTAAGTCATAACGTGGTTTGCTTAGTTTTAGCTTGGTTTGTTGGATGAACCCAGCTATTAAGAGTTTAAAAACTATGGCTTATAGCTTAATGTATTGTGAAAATCCATTCCACCATAGTTTATTCAATAAATCATGATTAAACAAATAACAGCTTAGCACGTTTGTGAACCCAGCCAGTGAGCAATAGCAAAGTTTCATTAAGTACGTTAAGTAGAGCCTTTCGACTGGCATTAGATAAAATCAAACCATTCTGGTTTTAGTAAAGCAATCCAGAGAGGTCACATATAATTAATGATTGTGGTAATGATTTTGTGCCTTACATATTATAAGGAGTGGAATTGAATATGCAAAGTTCCCTTCCCTGATACTTTACTTTCACAACTGAAGCTAGGAGAAAACGGTTTAATTTCTTATAGCTAATTTTTTTAAAGTTTTTTTAGGAACTTCTGGTGAAAGTGATATTCTTCTTTAAAGGAAGGACTATAACTGAGATAGGCATACACACATTGCCAGAAAGAGGTTCCGGATCAATTTCTAGCATCTCCAGGCAGGGTATCTCCCTATATACAGTACATATACAGGCTGTTGCCAGCCAATGACATAGCTGGACCCATATTGTGACAAGACCCATAACTAACCAGGATTTTTGACATGGTATAAGTCCAGTTTCCTGGTTTGCACAGAACTCTAAATCATAATGGATAGCATCCTGCATCCTGCAATGCTCCAAACAAAACCACACAGTGCTTAGTGTTACAGGTAAGCCAGCTTCCTATGTTCCTAAACACAATCTTCCCTAACCATGCTTTACGTGTGCTGGCTGAGCATTATGAGAATTGAAATCCAACCCATTTGGAGGGCAGCAGATGGGGAAGAATGCCTATTGTCTCAAAATACGTTGAGATTAAGTCCTTTATCTTGAATGTTGATAAAATCCACTTACATGCATCTACTCTTTGGTAATCCTGTGAAAGACTGACATGAAATAGGTATCATCAAGGTAATAGAAGTGCAAATGAAATGTCTGCCATGAAGTATGAACAAAGTGAACTGCCCTTGGGGAGACTTCACCATGTACAAAAGCAGTACACCAAGTAAACTCTCGTTTCTATGATGTCCTCTGCACAATCCTTTAAAAAGGCAAGCTTCCTGTATCAGAGCAACACAAATGGAATGGGCTAGCAGGGAAACAACAAACTTTATCAAGCAATTTGTCTGGGAACAGTTACAGACTAAATTAGTTATGTTAGGCTCAGCAACATACCCAAATAATCAAATCCCTTGTTCATGATGCAGGATTCCGTGGCATCGATTGCTTGGATCTTATATTTCTCAAACGGCCCCATAGGGAGTGCATTGTAATCTTGTTGCCATCTATCATAGCCATGGTAGCGCACCAATGCGCCACACCGAAGGAGCCACTCTGAAGCTGCTCTGTCTGGACCAACAGCCTGGATCCGTTCATGGTCGACCCTGGCAAGGAGGCGGCACAATGAGTTCTTCCCACTACATGCAGTATCCTCAAATCAACATAAACAGTGGAAAGGGCCATAGATTAAACTAGTGTTTCTCAAACTTGGCAACTTTAAGAAGTGTGGATTTCAACTCCCAGAATTCCCTAGCCAGCATGCTGGTTGGAGAATTCCAGGAGTTGAAGTCCATACATCTTAAAATTGCCAAGTTTGAGAACATTGGATTAAACAGTCATTAAATATGCATCTGTATTTAACGGACAGGCCTGAAAAAATGCAAATAAAAGTTCTGGGGATATGTGACAATTATGGGGATCGTAGCAGGCAAGGAATTTATTTCTTTTTTTTCCTGCTGTAATCCTGAAGAAAATATCTCCCTTGTATAATTAAAATCTTACATCTATTAATGTTCCTTAATGCTAGAGCATTTAAATCAGATTAAATCCACTGGACCTAAATAAGACAAAGTAGATTTCTCCCAATTCTGTTGATGCAAATTATAGTGCAATTCTTCTGGAGGGATTTTTTAACTAGTTAGACCAGGACACTGAAATATTTTATTTATTGCATTTATATCCCACCACAATCATAAAAAAACTTTCAACAGGTAGCAAAACAATACATAATAAAAACTACAAAAACTTTCAACTTGAAACAGCATTTGCTGTCAATCCTCCCTAACCCTCTGGAAAAGCTCCATTTTCAGCTGCTCCTGGAAGGTCACTAAAGTTGGGGCCAATCAAACTTCCTACAGGAGGCCGTTCCAGAGGGCTGGCCCAATTAGATAAAAATGCCTCCGGGCTTCAGCCCCCCTGACCTTCCAAACATGGGGGACAACCAGCTGCTTTTCCTGGCATGACTTCAGAAATTAGCTGGGTTAGTTGATCTAGTGGTAGGGCCAGCCTTATCATTTGCTCAGCTCTGTAGCTGTGGAAGAAAAGTACTTGAAAAATAAACGTGGTGTATTATTCATTATGCAAATCACTGTGTAGGTCAGAGTGGAAAATACCCTTGGGGGAAGGAGGTCAAAGTTTTCCTATTAAATAAACTCCTCTGAGCCCAAAGAAAGTAGACAAAAATGCTGCAGAATAAATTATATGTAACTTATAAATCACTTCCACCATTAAGTGTGGGATTGATTCACACAATAACTAAGACATTTCTTGTTCTAGTTTTTGGCTTAGTTTGCTATATGAATCCAGCCCTTGTGATTTAAAAACCTTTGTTTGTGGATTAATATGTTGTGAGAACCAAATTAATTGTAGCTAATTCAATTATAAACAAACCATGATTTACACAACATATAAACCCAATCACAACATTACTAGATTAATTAGCTGTCTTGAGTGTCCTTTGGTGAAAAGGTAGTACATTAAATAAGAATAAAGAATAACATAGCCAGAACAGATATATCCTGGAAGTGCCCACAAACAGTTTCCAAATAAATACAAGTTTATCCACTCATTTAAAGTGGATTGATATATCTATACACACACCGATTAAGCAAATCTTAAACCATGATTTGCTTATAGTTTATTGAATAAACCACAACTGGATAGGTTTACACAAAAATAAGCCACCATTTATAAAAAACAGTACCTGAGTTTGTAAACACACTAGGCAACAGAAAAGCAATCACATATTGTATGAACTCAGCCTTCTTCTTGTGTACAAACTATGCTCTGATTAGAGCACAGCATCTGAGCCCCCAACTTGGCTGTGAACGTCTTGGTTTAATCTTAAACTACAACCTCAACCAAGGTCAAGATGAAATTCCTGCATTTCGGGATAAGCAATGTGGATCCTGTGGCTGCCAGTGTGCCCTCAGACACCTCTCTTCTAGCCTAAGTGTCCCTGCCCCCCACTTGGCTTGTAAAACAAAGCACCAGCCTTTGGCATTGTACTTATTTAGATGAATATCTTTGGGTTCCATTAAGCTCCCAGAGGCATCAAGAGAAATACCTAGAGGAGCTACCATAGTAGCCATTTTGTGAATGCACTCACCAAATGTGACCTAAACCAAAAAGGTTGCCTACTTCTACTGTAATCAAACAGGTGTCTGTGTGTGTGTGTGTGTGCGCATTTATATTTATATTTATTTCTACACTACCCCTCTGTGTAAACACTCAAGGTGGTTTACAGTTGTTAAAAATACCAAGAATATAATCAACACAATTAAAAACAAAAATTAAAAAAGGCTTTCATCTTGGCCCTTCCCATCTTCTAAAGAGCCTCTATATAATATCCCAATATTATCCAGAGACATTTCACCCGCAGAGTTCATACATAAACACGCACTACTAGAAGATTGCAACCTCAAGTTCAATATGCTAAGATCTGTATGCTTAGAGACAACAACCCTCTGAGATTTCAAGTCAGAAATGAGAAACTAGTTAAACATTCACTCAACCAAAAAATTCCTTGTACACAGAAAACTATGCTAGGACTCCTGTTTGAGACACCAACTCTCACTCACTGGGTAGCACTGAATATCTACCTGCAGTCTTAAGGGACAGTCACTCTATCATTTGTTTTCCCTAACCATGCTGATCAGTAGGGCTCTGCAGCTTCAAAAATGAAAAAAGGCTCCTTTATTGTATAGCAGAGAGGCATTAGCACTTTGAATCATAAAGAATGCACAGCCCCCCAACTAATTTCAATGTATGAAAACCATCAAATATTATTCAGCCTACTGCATATGAGGTAGGATTGTCAAGTAGATATGAGCTTAAATCTCACATTTTTCTGCCTGAGATACAAACAGCATCTCTTTCCCTTCCGCAAATGGAATCCACTTGAGTTGAGAGCTGGAATCATCCATCCATCCATCTCACATTTATACAGCTGCCCATCTCAAGTAGTGATGGGACAGCATCCTCCATAAAACCAAAAGGCAGGAGCCTAGCTTTAGAGAGAAAGTGTTAGGGTTTGCAACTTGCCCTGGCAAGTGCCACCTAAGGCAGCTGCCTCTCTTTACCTAACGGTCATGCCAGCCTGGAGAATCATACTTTTGTGAAAGAGCTAGGAAAATTCAAACCTCAGTTCACTCTCAGAGTACTACGATTCTCAAGGCTGGTGAGAAGGCAGTCATGATACCAAATCCATTTGCAACTAGTTTCAGCTGGCATTGTACAAGCAACTTATTGGTGTCCTTTATGGAAACAACTTTATTTTTCTTGCCTGTGCTCTTACTGATTGAACACTGCATTTAGCCAGCCCCAGAGATGCCTTGGCAGACCACCAGGGGGCAGTTTCTTTAACAATCTTGTTTGGCGAATCAGCACTTCTGTGAACATCATGTAACTTCTGAAAGAGATCACAGTAAGGACAGCTCAGTAGATTTCCATAAATCAAGCACATTATTGCTGGTGTGTTTTCTAAAGTTAAAAACAGGCTATGCATTAACAAAGTCTATCCTTAGGCTGCCAATATTAGCATGTGATTAAAAGGGACTCACTTAACCTAGCAGTAAGAAATACTGAACTCACTACAACTTAGAGTGGACATGTTCAGAAGCACTGTTCATCTTCAATCCAAAACATACTTATATGGGAAAAAGGCCCATTGAAGCTATCAACTACAACAGGGAAGCAACCATGAACAAGTTATTTCCAAAAAACCCCCAAATGTTGGCCTTTTCTGTTTTTCTCATATGATGCTAATGCAAGAGGGAACATGCTGGACAATATGATCCAAATTTTATTTCAGTCTGGGGAGCTCACGCACGAGACGTGCTCAGAAGCTGCCCAGAGTTTTCCATCACTTTGGGACTGCAATTCCCACTCATCTACCCTGTATCTCTAGACAAGGGGTGGAAGCTATTTTGGTCCAAAGGTCAAACTGGCTCAAAGTAAGTACATAGAGGAGTCTATGCATAGTAGGCAGGCCCACTCCACTGTGAACGTTACTGTCCCTGATGCATAATGACAAACCATAATGTGGGTGGATTTGCACAAAAAAGCACATTGTGGCCCAGTGCAGTGCATCAACCTGTTATCTCTGCATGAACCCTACAACGTTGCTACAAATTAGGACAGTTCTCTTCATACTGCAAGCGAGGAAAGGCACAGAGGCTGAGGGACGATGGCTGATAGAAAGCTCGGACGTATGGGGCTAGAAGGCAGTCTGAGCCAATCCCTTCCACATCTCTCCTTCACCCTGTAGCTGAGGCCTTCAGGCCTGCCCAGCAACTTAGCACGATGGAAGAGTCTCCCCAGTCCAGCTCCTAAGGGGGCTGGTTCCCCAACCGCTGCAAGGGCCCATTTCCCCCTGGGACTAGCTCCGCCATGGAGAGCGAGGAGGGCTGCTGCGAAGAGGGACGTTACCACCCCACCCTTCAGGGGGACGATAACGCAGCCGCTGGGAAGGCTGCCCCGAGCGGGTGCGCTTCTCCAAGGTCGTCCCTCCCTGCAGGGGGAAGCCCAGCGGGCCTGGCTGCCTCCCTTTCCGACGGCCCGGAATGGCGGGACAGCATGGGAAAACGCCCCACGGGCGGCAGGTCCGAGGCGGGAGGGCGCGGTGCCAGTGGCGCCCCCCTCCCCCTCAGCGGGGCTCCTCCGAGTCGTAGCAAGCCCGGCCCCGCGGCGGCCTCCGACCTGCCTCCTCCCGCGGGGCCTGCAGCG